CAAGTATTCAGGGTCACACCCAAGTTGGGTGTGGTCGATCTCCTCTGTTGTCAGCAGGGAAGAGAGTATGATCACCCCTTTTGGTATAATCACACCGTCACTTCTCTTTCAAGGTGATCAGTGCCCGGGGTTAGCACACAGTGGGTGTAACACGCCCCTGCACTGCCCCCTGAACCACACAGCAGATCTCTGCAGTCCTTGTGTGGTCATGGATCCTGCTACAGTGACCCACCCCGGTTATCGGGGAGCGCTGAGCCTTTGGTGCTGCACACAGTGATTTCCTGGAGACACAGCTACACCCCGTGCCCTGTTGTGCAGTCACAGAGCTCCCGTGGTCTTACAACACAAGGCTTCCACAGTCACAGGGTGCAGAGGATCCACTCTGCCCTGCTAGCCTGTCCCTTCCAGGGAAAGGCAGAGGCATCCCCAGAGCCAGCTACTGTAGTTTTAAAATCATAAATGTAAAAATTTATTCGATCACTCAAGTGACAGTGTGGACATACATAGAGTTTAGAAGAGTTAAAGCAATCATCCCCACTTTTTCTTAAAACGTGATATTCCTACAGCTCCATTAGGGAAGGATGGCCTGTGTATTTAATTACCAAATTTAACTGAGCTAACACAGAGTCATTATTTTGAAGCATTCTTTGTGTCATTTTATTTATTTCCACAAGTCCTTTATTAGTCCAGATAAGAGAGTCATCAGTATTAAATACTGACAGCAGAGAGGTGACCTTTTGATTCATCTTTCCTTGCCCAGCTGCCCTACCCCATCAGCCCACCCCAGGACCTTGCACTGCAGGTTTTCAATGAGGGAGGTTTATAGACTTAGATTCATTAAGAGAACATTGTGTTTGGGGGTAGTCACAAAAAGTGTTGCAAGAAAAATTTGATTTGATCTGAGTTGGAAAGATGGGAGTGGGAAGATATTCCGGAGGGAGGAGATGAGTATGCATCAGGAGTTCATGTAGGAATACGCATTTTCTTTAACAGGTGGGAGAAGACCAACGTATTTAGAAAGGAGCGAGTAGGTATGGGCTGGGTAGTATTGCAGAGCGACTAAGAGTGTGAATTTTGGGGTCAGAAAGACCAGGGTTAGAAGTCATCTTTCACCTTGTAGTGGGACCTTGGACAAACTAATTAAACTTTCAATATCTCTTTTATCATCTATAAAAGAGGAGTGATATTTCACCCAGAGGGTTCTCGTGGGACTAGAGTGATATTTGTAACCTGCTTTCCTCCAGCAGCTGGCATGCAGTATGAGCTCACTAAGTTGTTGTGGAGAGGAGAAAGCGAGAATGTGCTTATGCACTGGAGAGTTAAGGCTGGATGGTTCGGGCCTGGAAAGCCAGACAGGGGAACTTTGACTCATGGGTTAGGTAAAAGAGCATCTTTATTTGTTTCTGGGCAGAGTCATTTCCCAAATTATTATTTGACCTGTCCTGCCCATCATGCTTCCTCTGTGAGTAATCTCAGGGTCAGAATTTTTGCTCCACAGGCAGTAATGTTTAACCCATTGTGACTGAGCTCACTTTTTTCCTCATTGACCCCTCCCCATCCCCACCCAAGGGAGTCCTTTTCATTGCCAGTTTATTACAGAAGCACATAGAGGTCCAACAGCAGCACCTTAAGCCAGGCTTTTGTCTGATAATTGCGTCAGTGCTGAGATGGGAACTCTGCAGCAACTTCAACCCATATTTCTGGTTGGCGTTGCTTTCGGGGAGGCTCTGTGCAGTGGTTCCACCCCTGCAACAGGTCTCTGGACACACGGGATGTCCAAGGCAGATCTCTGTCCACATGGCTGCTGCCTGAGGCTGCGTGCTAGTGTCTGCAGCTTTCCTCAGGGTCTCATGTTGCTGGTACCTCTACCCTTCTGGGATCTCCGCTGTGGCTTCACTCCCACAGCTTTCCCGGGCATCACCCAGTCCCGCAGCACAGCTCTGTCTGGCCTCTCTGTTTCCAGTCAAATCCCCATGGAAGCCAACATGACTCGTACATTCTGCACACCTGCAGCACTAGCACGTGGACGGTACCAAAGTCACCCACCAGCAAGAGCCACGCATGGACCCATTTGTACCAGTACTGAAGCGAACCTGGAGCACTTCGACAGCAAGCCAGACCCTAGAGCTGACCTTAGGGTCCCATGAGCAAATTCTGTTCTCCAGGTCTCTGGGCCTATGATGGGAGGGACAACATTTTGGCCTTTTTTTTCCTGTTGTTTTGCTGATTGGCACATGGCTCCCTTTTACTGCACCAATCTCCTTAGCAATTGATTTATTTACCTCACTTTTGTGTCCCAAACAAGCTTTTCCTTCCTTCTTTCTCTGACTAGGCTGCAAATATTTCAAACTGTTCTGCTGTGTTCCTTTCTGCTCTTGATTCTCACTGTAAAAGTGACTAAAAGCAGCTGATGATATCTGTGTTGTTGCTGTTTTGGAATCTTCTCCATCAAAGAATCTAGCCCACCAGCTGTAAGTTCGGCCTTCCACAAAGTCTCAGGACAGGGACACGTACAGCTGGTTTATTTGCCACCAGGTATCAAAGGGGACTTTAGTCCAATTTCTGATAGAGTCTTCATTTCCATCTGAGATCTCATCAACAAGATCTTTACTGTCCATGTTCCTTTCAGCATTCTGGTCTTCAAGGCCCTTAGCAGAATCCCCCATGATGCTCTGCTTACAGCTTTCTCAACTTTCTCCAGCCTGCTCCTTCGAACTTTGAGCCTCTGCCAGTTAATCACTTCCAGTGCTGCCTCCACGCTTTCAGTAATGATTCCATTCCTTGGAACTCTTTTTCTGTATTAGCTTCTCATGACTACAATACGGTACCTAAGATAAGCTGCTTATGAAGGAAAGAGGTCTATCTTGGCTCACAGTTTTGGAGGATCACAGTCAGGATCGGTTAGGCTACCTGGTGGAGCCAGAGGATAGGACAGGAATGGCAGAGGGTGTGTGGTGGAACAGTCACGTGGCAAGCCAGGAAGCAGAAAGAATGGTTAGGCCCAACTTACCTCTTGTAACTAACCCTCTTACAAGAACCATCTTCCAAGGACATACCCCTAATGACCTAAGAAGCTCCAACTAGGCCCACCTTCTAGACACCATAATTGGATTAAGATTCCATGTTCTTAGTGCCATCAACTTAATGACTTGAGATTTAACCATTTATATGAGCTCAGGACCTTGTCCTATTCAAACCATACCCGTCATTCTTCCCTTTTTGTGGATAAGGTATTTGGAGCCAAATAGCACTATCAGCCAGTTTCCTCCTAGACCTCCAGAAGTTAGCATCCCTTTTTCATTTCTTCCCATCTCTTTCACCTTCCGTCCAAGCCAGCAGTATTTCTACTACAATGGTTGATTGGGTTCACAAGCCACAACTTTGTTGTTTTCTTGTGAACATGCAATCACATTGTAGTGCTCCATTCACAAAACCCTTTTCATTCTTCAAAACTGAAGCTCTGGGTACATTAAATAATTAACCCTTCAGTTTACCCTTCCCTCTGCTCTCCTGTCCCCCACCCCAACGCTCAGCACTGGAAATTTGTAAAAGCAGTGTAGTGATAGCTGTGTTTTACATTTGAAAAACATGATTCCAGTAAAAAAAAAAAAAAGGAGCAGCTTGATAGGCAAGAATAAAAGCACTAATAGAAGCTATTTAGGAAATGTTTTAGATGAAAGATGATAATAAAGAGATTTGAAATTGGTTTCAGCAGTATATCAGACAGGATTGAAAGATGGAGTTGAACATGTATGGAGCAGGATGCGGATTCTCTTTAGACATTGCTTCTGCCATCCAAGTGGTGATGTCGGGTTGTTGGGTGTACAAGCCCAGAAATCAGGAAGAGGGCCAGCATATATTTGAGGGTCATGGGCAGGTGGGTGGTATTTAATGTCATAGGACTGGATGAAGAAGAGATCAGGTATAATCCCTGGGGTGCTTTCATCTTTTAGAGGTCACCTAGAGTAGAAAAGGATTCTGTCATGGTTTAGCCAATCTTTATTTGAGCTAAATGCTGCAGAAACTTGTATCTGAGCTCCAACAAAGAGGCAAAGCGACCAAGTTGAAGTCCCATCCAAGCTGGTTTTAGCTAAGTAACATTAGATCTGGCTGTGAGAGAGAGGCAATTTTACCTGCTAAATTATGTTTTCACCTAGAATATCTAAGATGAGCCAGGGATGAGAGAGACATAAGAGGATCAAAGAGAAATTGTTAATCCTTTTGAAGCATCCAACATTTCTTGCACTTAGAAACACATAATCATATAAATGTAACTAATATATATTAACTAAGAAAAATGGGGGTAAATATTTCATTACAGATAAACTTTGAGTGTCTTTTGTCTTCCTTTAAGTAAATAATACCAGACGTACATTGTAGCTTTTTTCTGTCACAAGATAAAATAGTATCCGTACCATATCTCCATAACTATTTGATCATGTTAAGTTTAAGAAGTAGTTCCAAAAACAACTTTTAAAAGGTATGTCATTTTTCTATGTATGTAATTTTTTGGTTCAAGTAAAAAATATCTAAATGATTTTAGTTTAAGTTATCTTTAAATATTCAATAGTTTATCATCTCTAAATGTATTTTTGGACAATCAATTTTGCAACATAGGATATACATAACTTGAGATGGTCATGCTATTCTTTCCCAATTGGTTACCATAGCCTGACCTTTTGGGTAGGATTCCAATTAATGAATTATGCAGCTGTCCAGCATCATTTGACTTGCTCTTTGATGATTTAGAAGTCAGTGGTTTGCTCATTATTCGGATTATTTGGAAATCTCTCACCCCTTTGTTCAGGAAAAGCAATGTGGTTTTTGCACGAGTTCCTCTTTGCCGTACTCAAACATTTGGGAAATGGAAATAGGAAAGCAGTAGCTTCTCAGAAAAAAACCGTAGATGAATGGAACAGGAACTGCAAAATTAGCAAAATGTAACAGGAAGTGTTGATCTTGTACATTATTGCTTTTGCTTATTTTTTCTCCTTTGCTAGGAGACCTGTTATGATGATGTGTGTAGTACTCACCACACTTCCCAGCTTCATCTTTTCTATAGCAGTAACTGAGGTATGGTATTTTGATTTCTTCTGCTACAAGATTTTGAGATTTTTGAGTTTTCTGCTATCATAAGTTTGTAGAGCTCAACAAATTTAAAATTAATTTACTCAAGTCTTCTTCTAAATTACAAAACCCAAGGGTACTTCAAAAAGTTTGCAGGGGCCGGCACCAAGGCTCACTAGCCTAATCCTCCACCTGCGGCGCCAGCACACCGGGTTCTAGTCCTGGTCGGGGCGCCGGATTCTGTCCCGGTTGCCCCTCTTCCAGGCCAGCTCTGCTGTGGCCCGGGAGGACAGTGGAGGATGGCCCAAGTGCTTGGGCCCTGTATTCGCATGGGAGACCAGGAGAAGCACCTGGCTCCTGGCTTTGGATCAGCGTGGTGCGCCGGCCACAGCACGCTGGCCGCAGCGGCCATTGAGGGGTGAACCAACGGAAAAGGAAGACCTTTCTCTCTGTCTCTCTCTCTCACTGTCCACTCTCCTGTCGAAAAACCAAAAAAACAAAAAACCACTGTTACCCATATGATTGTGGAAGAAAGTGTAACACCCAATTTTTAAAAAATTACTTTTTATATTTGTGTGTGAGATGGGATATTATTTCAAAATAATTAAGAAGTGAGGAATTTGAAAATTGATGTACATTTATTTCTTCTACCAACCTGATGTTTTTCATAATTGCTCTCAGTTCTAAATGGGAAATAAAAAATTCCAATTGAACAGCCATTTACAGTCTAACATCTTTTATATAAATTCACAAGTAATTTACACATGATATTTATTTGAAAATAATATTGAGTTTATGTTTTGACTAAACACCACTTCCAAAGGCTCAAATGGTCATCCATAAGCAGGAACAGTATAAGCAAAATTTTCAGGCTGTGAGAATTTTATTATCCAAGAAGGTCAAAGAAGAATGCCCTACTAATCTTATTAGTTTGCAAGGTACTGTGAAAAGTATAATTTTCACTTCTATAAAGTACAAAATTGAAGTTATTTTGTGATATTTCATTTATATGTTGAGCAAACATTCATTAAGTGCATATTACAGGTCAGGCTCTGTGTTAGGTACTATGTCCAGAGCAGTCAGGAAATATGGCAGTCTCTGCCCTTCAGTGATTATATACTCACAGAGGAGAGGAAAATAGATAAGCAATTAGAGTATCTTAACTGTTGTGAAAGAGGTGCATAGTGCATAATGTACGATGTGGGAAATTACACGGTTGTTAGAATATGTCCTCATTTAGGATAATTAAGATAATACATGAATGCGTAGGATAACTTTGGAAACCATAGGGTTGTACTTTGTATCAAAGAAGCTGCAACATTTCAATCTAGATTTATGATTTAAACCTCCCTCCTCCCCAAAGACCTTGTAAAACACTTGAGGAGTTCCCAAGAGCTTTAGAAGTTCAGTTTACAGGAGCCAGAGTTGTGGCATAGTGAGTAAAAGCTGATACCTGTGATGCTGGCATTCCATATGGACGCCAGTTTGAGTCCCAGCTGCTCCACTTCCAATGCAACTCTCTGCTATGGCCTGAGAAAGCAGCAAAAGATGGTCCAGGTGCTTGGGCCCCTGCAGCCATGTGGGAGACCTGGAAGAAGCTCTTGGCTCCTGGCCTTGGCCTGGCACAGTCTTGGCTGTTGTGGCCATTTGGGGAGTGAACTAGCGGTTGCAGGATTCTCTCTCTCTTTCTCTCTCTCTCTCTCTCTGTATGTGTGTGTGTGTGTTTTCCTTTCTCTTTGTGTAACCCTGACTTTCAAATAAACAAATAAAAAAAATAAATTGAATTTATAACCTTTCAAGGAAAGTCAGTATTGTAACATGATGGTATATCTGGAATTTGGTCACCTTTTTGATTCTTTTCTATGATGTCTCATCCTTTGCTACATGTCTTTCTATTATTTTTTTAAATTTAATTTTTCACTTAAGTGTGGAACAGCAAAGTACCTGACATGGAAATAGAAATGTACAACATCAATGGAGAACCACAAGCAGACCCTGTGTAAACACTGCTCAGATTAAGATGGTAAAGTTGGCCAGCCCCATCTACCCACACGCCTTCCTTGCTAGCATTCCCTTTCCCTCCTCCCCAGGGGTAACTTCTGTCTTGACTTCTAATACTGCAGATTGGTTTGCCTGTTTTTGAAATTTTCATAAGGCAAAATTATAGATAACATATATGTACATATGGTATATAATGTCTATGTAAGATATATATATTTTTTAAAAATGTATTTATTTGAGAGATAGAGTTACAGACAGAGAGAGAGACAGAGAGAAAGGTCTTCCATCCACTGGTTCACTCCTCAAGTGGCCACAATCGCTGGAGCTGGGATGATCTGAAGCCAGGAGCCCGGAGCTTCTTCTGGGTGTCCCACATGGGTGCAGGGGCCCAAGCACTTGGTCCATCTTCTGCTGATTTACCAGACCATAGCAGGGAGCTGGATCAGAAGAGGAGCAACAGAAATACAAACTGGCACCCATAGGGGATGTGGACTCAGCAAGGGAGAGTCTTAGCCTACTCCACCACAGTGCCAGCCCCCAAGATATATATTTTATGTCTCATTTCTTTTATTTAAAAGTATGGTTGAGAGGGTAATTCATTTTGTATATAGCTATAGGTCATCCATTTTCATTGCTGTAGAGAATTTCATTTCATGAAGATACCACAATTTATTTATCAGTTCCACTGTTTGATGGCCATTTTGGTTGTTTCCAGTTTGAGCTATTTCAAAGAATGCTGCTGTGAACATACCTGGACATGTGTCTTGTGACATAGACGCAAGCATTTCAGTTGGTTAAATACCCAGGAGTGGAACTGACCGGTCATAAACAATTCAAATGTTTAGTTGTAACAGATAATGCCAAGCAGTTCCCAAGGAGTCTTACTGATTTCTGTAGTACAGAATCTATTAGGAGAGAATGAGCATTCCCGTTGCTCCACGTGCTCACCAGCACTGGCACCATACATTTTTTCTTCTGTCAGCTGTTTTGGTGGGTTACGTTCTTGAGTTTCATAGCACTTTTAATTTGCATTTCCCCGGAATTTAGTGGGGTTGTGCATCTTTTCATCTTGTCCATGTTTCTGTTATGTTGCTTATCTTAAAATTGATTTTGGGGGCCAGCGCTGTGGCATAGCCACAGCCTGCAGTACCAACATCCCATTTGGGTGCTGGTTTGAGTCCCGGCTGCTCCACTTCTGATCCAGCTCCTGAAAGAAGCTCCTGGCTCCTGGCTCCTGGCTCCTGGCTCCTGGCTTCGGATCGGCCCAATGCCAGCTGTTGCAGCCATCTGGGGAATAAACCTGCGGATGAAAGACCCCTTTTTCTCTTTCTCTCTGCCTCTGCCTTTCAAATAAAATAAATCTTTTTTAAAAATTGATTTGGAAGAGTTATTTAAATATTCACATTTATAGGCCCTTTGTTGATTACAGGTATTTCAAATATTTTCACATTCTGTGACCAACCTCCATCCTTTTAAATGGTATATTTTGATGTGCAGAAGTTCTTAATTCAAAAGTAATGTATCAGTAGCACTTCTGGGCAGTTTTTTGAAAAGATTTTGTCACACTATGAATCTGAACCTCAAAGTCCTAAAGGTATTCCTCTGTATAATGCTGGGAGACTATATTGTCTTTTTGTTCACTTTTATTTAAAAATTCACCTGGAACTGATTTTTGTATGTGTTGTGCAATTTGTAGTCAGGTTTTACTGTTTTATTTCCCTAAAAAACATTTAGTGGATTAAGCATCATTTATCAAAAAGTCTGTCCTTCCCACATTTCTCTACAGTTGTAAATCAGATGTGCATGCAGTGGACTGTATCTGGCCTTTCTGTTCTGTCTCATTGTCCAGTTATCTATTCCTGATCTAACATCACACTGTCTTGGTTCATGTAGATTTATAATAGTTCTGTTTATCCTGAAGAGTAAATCTGTCTTGCTCTTTTTCTTTGAGATTTTCATGCCCTTTGTATTTCCATATAAATTTTAGAATCAGCTTTTTTTACCACAACAGTTGGAATATTGATTTAAATTGCATTGAATGGTATAAGTATTTTTTTAAAGATTTATTTATTTACTTGAACGTCAGAGTTACACAGAGAGAGAAGGAGAGGCAGAGAGACAGAGAGGTCTTCCATCTGCTGGTTCGCTCCCCAGTTGGCTGCAACGGCAGGAGATGTGCCAATCTGAAGCCAGGAGCCAGGAGCTTCTCACGGGTCTCCCACGTGGGTGCAGGGGCCCAAGGACCTGGACCATCTTCCACTGCTTTTCCAGGCCTCAGCAGAGAGCTGAATCAGAAGTAGAGCAGCTGGGTCTGGAACTGGCGCCCATATGGGATGCTGGCGCTGCAGTTGGCCGCTTTACCCACTATGCCACAGCGCAGGCCCTGAATGGTGTAAGTTTTTTAAATCTTATTTTCTAACTCTTTGTTGTTGGTATTTGGAAATAATTTATCCATTTAGGGGATCATTTTCCATACACAATTTTGTGTATGGACATTTTTTGTGTATGACATTTTTTCTTTATTTCCAATTCTTATGTTGCTTATTTCTTTCTCTTGCCTTATTATGCTGGTGAAAATTTCCAGTGTTGAATAGAAATAATTATGGTGGTATCTTCGTTTTGTTTTTCACCTCAGGGGAAAAACATTTTTTCCTTACAGTTTATTTTATTTATTTGAAAGGCCAAGTTAGAGAGACAGAGAAAGAGAGAGAGAAGCAGAGAGAGAGAGAGAGAGAGAGAGAGAGATCTTTCATCTGCTGGTTCAATCCCCAAATGTCTGCAGTAGTCAGGGCTAAGTCAGACCTAAGCCAGGAGCCAGGAGCTTCTTTCAGGACTCCTGTGAAGGTGCAGAGGCCCAAGCACTTGGGCTTTCCCAAGTATATTGGCAGGGACCTGAATGGGGAAGTGATTAGCCAGGACTTGAACCAGCACCCATATGGGATGCTGGCGTAGGCAGTGGCTTTACCTGTTATACTGCAGTGCCAGCTCCCAGGGGGAAAACTTTTTAAGATTTCACCATTAACATTAATATAATGCTTGTCAAAGGTATTTTATAGATACTTTAAGATAATATTCATCCCCTTACCTCTTTGAGGCTGAACTCTTGGAGGTTCTGCTTAGAGTTGGAAGGAATTACCCATTCCACTGTTACTAAGAGCCTACTATATTTCCATATGTATTTACCAAGATTGATCTTTAATTGAATAAAGAGTTCCATTGATGTGAATCCTTATTACAGCCTTAGAAATGGTTCAGAACCTTGTGGAGCTTAAACCTGAAAACCAAGCTTCTAATTTTTTAATAAATGTATTTTATATAATGTATGTATACATTATACATTATTTTTATATAATGTATGTATTTTACATAATGTATCTATATAATTAATTTAGTGCTGCTTTCAGACTACCGAAGGAATTTTGAACAAAGCACCGTAATTTAATGTTTCTTTTCTTTCTTTCTTTTTTAAAAAAAAAAAAAAAAACAGGTTCAGAAGACCATTAATACTACCGTTGATGTATTACCAGATACCTTGCCTGACCTGCCAGTATCTCTGGTTATTTCATCCTTGATCATCACTGATATTATTGAAAAACTCAGGTTTCATCCTATTAGAGGGTATCAAAAGAGTAAGTATGCTTTCAATTATAAATGTTTTTTCAAGTTTTATATGCATTTCATCTTTCTGCTACCCTCTTGTCTGACTTCATATGAGGGTGTTTCAAAATGTCCCCAGAGGGGCTGGCACTGTGACATAGGGGGTGAAACTGCCACCTGCAGTGCTGGCACCCCATTTGGGTACCAGGTTCGATTCTCAACTTCTTCACTTCCTATCCAGCCCCCTGCTAATGCACCTGGGAAGGCTGTGGAATATGGCCCAGGCACTTGGCCCTGCACACACATGGGAGATCTAGAGGTGGCTCTTAGATCCTGGATCCTGGCTTTAGCCTGGCACAGGTCTGGCTGTTGTGGCCATTTGGGGGAGAGAATGCAGTAGGTGAAGGATCTCTCTCTCTCTCTCTCTCTCTCTCTCTCTCTCTCTCTCTCTCTAACTCTGCCTTTCAAATAAATAAATAAATAAATAAATCTTTAAAAAAAATCTATTTATTTATTTGAGAGAGAGGTCTTCCATCCACTGATTCACTCCCCACATGACTACAATAACTAAAGCTGAACTGACCTGAATCTAGGAGCCAGGAGCTTCCTCTGGGTCTCCCACATGGGCACAGGGGCCCAAGCACCCAGGCCATCCTCCGCTGCCTTCCCAGGTCACAAGCAAAGAGCTGGAGCAGAAGAGGAGCATCTGGGGTGGGAGCCAGATCCTATGTAGGATGCCAGAGCTACAGGTAGAGGCCCAACCTACTATACCACAGTGCCTGCCCCATAGATAAATCTTTTTTTAAAAAGTTCCTGGAAAACTGAATTAACAGTAAGTTATTTTTGTGCAAAGTTTTTTGGAAATGAATGTTTTTTTTAAAAAATAATATGTATTTTCCATGAACTTTTTGCAATCCCTTTGCATTTATACCTTTCTAGGCTGTCATTACTGATAGAAGATTGCTAATGAAGATAACTAAGCATAATTCTATTTAAACCTACTTTGATAGCTGGACAGTTATTTATTCTTTGCATTTTGGTAGTACTGATACAATAAAGTTAACAAATGTCTGGTACCCAAAATTTTAATGTTTAAAGTAAGTTATTATAAAGGTTTCTGTTTTTCTAGGAACTTTCTTAGCACTATAAGTTTGGATGAGTAGAGTTCAATTTGGATGCCTTTGCTACAGGAACTAATAGGAATATGACTACTGCAGTTCTGTTTTAGAGGACTATATGCTTTTAATGTGGATTATAAAAAAGTCAAAGCTCACACTAATAAAATTAAGATGTGCTCACTGAAGTGAGCAGTTGCAATTAAATATTGGTTGGCCTTTGAAAAAAATATTTTGTTAATTAAATATTTTATTTCTTCAGTCATAAATTCCTCCACCTGATGTCTAATTTCACGTGACAGTATCTGTGTCTGACTTGTAGTATTTGCGTGTTGCAGTTATTGTGTGGCTAGCATTTTTGTAGTGTTGTACATTTGAAATGGATAGGTTTTGCAGGATGACTTCCTGGTGGGACGGATGGCGTAAAGGCTATGAGTTACAAGAGAATGCTCAGAGTGGCAGGGATACCTCCTAGAGCCATTTATGAGTCATATACCACCACCCTTCCAGTCACTTTTGTTCCTCAAATTAAAAGCAAAACCAAGCTGGAGGCCACCATGAAATCTGAGACTCTGAGTCTCTCATTTTGCACTTTGCCCTTGGGTGGGACGTGGACACAACATAGGTGTCAAGTAGATGAGATGGCAGCCAGGAGCCATCTGTGAGGCAGGTACACACCCAAGTTGCACGTGCGCTCCAGAACCAAGTGTGCTTATCTACAACCTAGGGGCTTTGAAAATCTCTGAACTCTTTGCTGCATCTCTAGACACCCTGAGATTGCAAGTCTATCTTGAAGTTGCCTGATTTTGATGACTTTGTTTTTCATGTTAATACTTTCTGTCCAGGTGAAGGGTTCTATTTTTTCAAAAAATGCACAGTATAATTTAGGGAGTAAGCCAATGGCATCTTATTTTGATAATGATGTGTTAGATTAAAAAATTTTAAAGGTATTTATTTATCTGAGAGACAGAGAGACTGACAGAATACTCCCACCTGCTGGTTCACTTCCCAAATGCCTACAATAGCTGGGGCTGGGCTAGGGCCACGGCCAGCAGCTGGGAACTCAATCCCGTTTCCCATGTGGGTGACAAGAACCTAATTACTTGAGAAATCACTGCTGCCTCTCAGGATCTTCATTAGTCAAAAGCCAGAGTCAGAAATCAAACAAGACTCTCCAAAGTGAGATGTGCATGTCATGACCACTAGGCTAAATAATGAGTCCAAGTGAATTTTTAAAGGGAAATTTTCTCTGTATCCAGCAGTGATGACAATGAGATTCAAAAAGAAGATCCCCAAGAAGTCAGTCTTGGGGAGAAGACCCTAAAACGTCTTGTAAAACTGCTTCTGCCCAGACATAGTAAGGTTAATGTTTGGCTTACTAGCTCCACTATTTAATGTATATCACATTTTTAAAAAACTGGCGTTCTTTTTAAACACCTTTGAAAATATTAATGATGTGTGCATTTAATTTTTGTGTAAAGTTTGTACTGAAATAGCTTCCTGCATTTTTAAAAAATGTATTATTTATTTGTTTGAGAGGTAGAATTACAGACAGAGAGAGGGACAGAGATAAAGGTCTTCCATCTGCTGGCTCACTCCCCAAATGGCTGCAATGATCAGAATTGTGCTGATCCAAAGCCAGGAGCCAGGAGCTTCATCCAGGTCCCCCATGCGGGTGCAGGGGCCCAAGCACTTGGGTTATCTACTGCTTTCCCAGGCCATAGCAGAGAGCTGGAACAGAAGAGGAGCAGCCAGGACTCGAACCAACACCCATATGGGATACCGGCACTGCAGGCGGAGGCTTAGCCCACTATGCCACAGCGCCGGCTCCCCAGTATTTATTTTAACATGCACATTAATCAAACTAATTATGTGGATTTTGAATCCATTGGAATATTTTCATTTGTTTGCTGGAAGTTAAACTAATACATAAAATACATTGACTTATTAATACATAAATCTGAACCTGAGAAAGTATGGTTTCACTACATGTGAATCGGGGACAAAGTGGATGAAAATAAGGTTTAGAATACTTTGGCTCCCTTTAGAAGATGTGAGGAAAGTGCATATATTCTCTGTCTTTTCCACATAGCTTGAAATGCATACATGAGTATCTGTTAGCTTGTAGCAGCTTTGGCTTTCTATTAGGTGAAACTTAGGTGATGTATAGTGCTTGGTTTAGGGACCCTCTTGTATCATCCTAACCATCCTCAATTCTAAGCTATGAAATTTTGATATTTGTGGAGCATTTCCTTTTCCAAATGTTTAAATAAAAATTTAATCTGTATATAAAATATGCTTCTGCTGAAAGCAGTCTTCACTGAACCAAGAAATCCTTTCTACTCACTTCCTATCACCAATGGAAATACCTCAGTGTCTAGTGATCACCATGGCACAATTTCTAAGTGCATTGTCTCACACAGATTGAGCCTCTCCTGGGAATATTTTTCTGGTACATAGATTTCAGAGTCAAGGAATTCTCAGATGCACGTGGTATCTAATAATGTCAACTACTAATCATGGAAACAAATACCAAGAAGACAATGGATAGCTTGAATATCCCCCATTCTTATTGATCTGTGGGTACAAATAAAGTTCATTTTACATTTTCATCTGAATTTTGCTGTCTGAGTCTGGACATATTTAGTCCAGGCTGTTGAATATCCCATTGCTCCTTCTCTGTTCCTAGTTTTGTTCCTACGTACAATTTGTCATTCTGTTTCCCACCATTTCTGCTGGATCCTCTGCTTTAAACAACTGCTGGTGCCCTGGGATATGGACTGATGCATTGCATTGCTTTAGACTGATTATCTTTCTTTCGCTGGTTGGACTATTGACTTCCTGGCACCAAGTTCTACTTTTCTAGAGCTATCCTGGTTAGAGTCCTGGAATAGCTATTTTTGTTTGGAAACAGTCTTTTGTCACCAGAATGTAATTGTATCAACAAAACAGCTAAACTTCAGTGATGTCAGTAATGGCCATTCTAGTTCACTACTAGACACCACCATTCTCCCTCCTATCTATAGACCTCATGGCTGGGTCTGGTAGAGATGTATTCTTTCTTTTTTTCTAAAATTAAAAAGAGTTTATTAATTGGCTTGAGAGGCAGATTGAGAGTGATCCCATCTGCTGATTTAGTCCCCGAAAGCCTACAATGACCCCAGGTTGGGACCAAAGCCAGGAGCTAGGAACTCAATCCAAGTCTTCCCACATGGTTGAAAGGAACCCAGTTACTTGAGCCTTCTTTTCAGGTGGCTTTTTTTCCATAGAGTCTCATAACCTGTCCTTACATCAGTCTTAGCTATATTGTCCAAACCTTGATCCCAGGCACCATTAGATTTCCTTCCCTGCCACCATCTAGATTCCTCAGCCTCCATATAAACAGTGGCTGCAGTCAGACCTGTGATGCTGTCCACTGTTGTGGGGGAATTTTCTTTCCTAGCTATGGAACTCCCTTGAATAACAGAAAGCTGCTTCCAAAAGTTCTCAGGAAACCAGAGTTAAAAGAGAAGTTTATTTGGGGGGAAATTTTTTTTGAAATACGTATATACCAGTGCCCTTCAAAAAGTTCTGTTTCATCAAAAATGTGTATTATGAAAAGCTCTACATGGATTCTATTTTACATGGACTTTCTGTAGTGTTGTCATATTTGTAGCTTAGCTTAGACACCACTTGTTGCAAAGTGGTAGGATGGAAGACAATAGTCAAGTACTGTGGGGCCAAAGATGAAGGACACTTAGTTTTATTAAAGGTAGTAGAAGTCAGAAATGACTAAAAAGGGGACCAGGGCTTTGCAGGAGTTTGCAGGGAGATGTGGTAGTGGAAGCTTTCTTATTTTGAAGAATGGCTGGGCTCAAGGAAATCAAGTGTGCATGTCATGAATGGGTGTGCTTAGGAAATAAAAATGACTTCAGTTG